GGCACCTGCCTGACAAGCACGAGGTCCTGAGTTTGATTCCTGGTACCAAAGAAAAGGAACCTAGAATTGCTGGGTGTGGTGGCACACACCTGAAATACCAGCACTAAGGAGGCTGAGACAGGAAGATCACTGGGCGTTTGAGGCCACACAGGCTATACAGCGAGACCCTGTCTGAAAAAACAAACAAACAAAAACAAAACAAAACAAAACAAAACAGGAACTGAGAGATGATTCTGAGCCTACAGGAGCATACGCATAGGCTTTGTACAAATACTTTACCTCTTTTACCTAAGGGACTTGGACATCAGTGGGTTTTGGTATCCACAGGGGGTTCTTGAACCAATCCCCTTCAGATGCCAAGGGAGAAATGTATTATTTTTCTTTCCATAAATGTGGGGGTTTTTTCTAATTTTTTTGGGGGGGAGGTCAGGGTCTCAGTATGTAGCCCAGACTGGTCTCCCAACTTGTAGCAATCCTTCTGCCTCAGCCTCCCAAGTGCTGGGATCACAGGGCGCTGCCATGCGTGGCAGTTTTTTCTAACTTTTTATAAAAGAAATAATACACACTGTCCACCCAGCCCTGTGCATGCCTGACTTTTTCTCTGCAGTGTACGTGCTTTGCAGCCTGGAAGCACTGGTTCTTTCTGACTCGATCTTGTCTGAAGGGGCTTCCGGAAGACTTCCTGACATCGTCCTGGGAAGAATGGCGGCCACGCTCCCTGGACTGCACCCCCAAAGGACTCTTACCGTTCATTTTCCAATGACTTCAGAATCTCAGAGCTTTGTTTTTGCCTGTGGAGAAAACCAGAGAAGGTCCCTCGGGTCATCCGTGAGCAGCAGAGCTGTTCGCCTCCCTGCACTGGCTGTGGCCAGGCGGGGACATCCGGGACAGCCTGGAAGCTCCACGCCCTCTGGCCACTAAGCCACTCCACGTCCCAGGTTTCCTCACCTGTGAAGTGGGGATAAAAAATAAACAAGCAAACCATCTGTAGAGTGACCAAGGAAATATTCACAGGGTTTGGCTCTATAGCTGGGGGGGGTGGTGCATGCCTGTAATCCCAGCACTCAGGAGGCTGAGGCAGGAGGACTGCTGTGTGTTTGAGACCAGCCTGGACTACATGGCAAGGCCCTGTCTCAAAAACAAAAGCAACACCGAACACAGGCCTGCTGTCCTGACTCAGTCAGGCACTCTGGTAGGTGACAGAGGCTCTCATAACCCAGGGTCGGAAAGAAGGCAGCCTGAGGCAGCAGGGGATGGAGCTCGCGCCTGTTTACGGAATCTTCCTGTAAGAGACTAAGAGACCCCTCACTCGGAGTTCTCAGGCTTCTCGGGACCTCTGTCTGGCCCCTTCCTCCCTGCGCCCCATCAAGACCTCTTAGTCCTTCCTACCCAGAACGGAATTTGTTAAGCTAAATCTCACTCTAGGGTGAAGGGCTGACTGCGGGCAAAGGGATATTGGGTCAGTGATCTCAAGTGGTCCAGCGGGGGCCCTGGAAGAGCCTCCCGAGGGCCGGGCCCAGCCGCGCACTGACCTCCGGTTCTCCTGCAGCAGCTTCTGGATCCGGCTGGCGACGCCCTGCTCGGCCTCCTTCAGCTGCTGCAGCAGCCGCTGCCTCTCGGCGTCCAGGTAGCGCTGGTGCGCGCTCAGGCCCTGCTCCAGCCGGGACCGCTCCTGCGGCGGGGCGGCGGGGTCAGAGCGGCGGGACCCGGATGCTGGCGCCAGGGGGGCCGGGATCCAGGGCCCGTGTGCCCCGCCGCGTCCCTCCCGGCCCAGGCCTCGCAGCACAGATCTGCGGGTGGCGGGGTTGGGCCTGTCTCCTGGCCCGCAGGTGGGCGCACCTCCCGGAGCGTCTGCAGAACCTCGTCCTTCTGACCGTGGCTCTGTCGCAGCAGCTGAGCGTGCTGCCGCTGCCCCAGCTCCAGGCGCCGCTCGAACTCCAGTTTCTCCAGCATCTTCTGCTCCTGCGGGGACGCAGAGCCTGGTGACCCAAGGCTCGGCCGCGGGACGCAGGTGCAGAGGTTGCGGGAGGCGCTTTCTTACCTTCCGCTTCTCGTAGTCGGAGAACCTGTTCTGAGGGGAGAAGAAACGGCAGTCAGGGTTCCGGCACAGCGTGGTTCTCACCGTCGCATGCGCCAGGGTCCCCGCTGCCCCGGCTTCCTGCAGACTCTGGCCCAGCCCGACTGCTGCATCCACCAGAGCGGGGTGTGGGACAGAGGCCTGGGGGAGGAGGGGGCCCAGGGGACCCCAGGGTGAGGACTCATTGCTGGGCACTGGGGGAGGAACGCGAGACTGTTCTGGGAGCTGGCTCAGGGCAGGCCTGGGGCTCTGAAAGAAAACCGAGAAGCCAGGCATGGCAGGGCGAGTGTAACCCCAAAACTGGGAAGCTGAGGCAGGAGGACTGCAGAGCTGGGGGCCAGCCTGAGCTACAAGCGAGACCGTATCTCAAAAACAAAACAAAGACAAAAAAGCACTCACTGAAAGACGAAAAGCCAGACCCGCAGTGGCTGGTGCTCCCTGAGGCCCTGTTACTACCCCTCTCCTGCCCACAGCTGTCAGAGGCCCTGGACTGTGAACCTGGGGTGGGGTGTCCCAACTGGGCGGGGCACAGCACCGTGCAGGCTCCTGCGGATCACTGTGGGAACCACCCACCCTGTAACCCACTACACGCAGTGTACCAGAAGCTGCTCCGCAGCTGGTATACTTCAGTTTGTTAGCTGCCCAGGTAGTAGTGCCGGTTACAGTCCCTGTAACGTTTCTTAGACACAGCTGGTCACTGTGATGCGTACCCTCAGAACCAACCCCCAAGTGACAAGCCAGCTGCCTCTGCACTTCCTGCTCGCTTATCTCACATAAGCCCTAGACCAGCAGAGATCGGGGCCTGGTATTTTGGGAATGAGTCCCATGAGTGCCCATCCACGTAAAAGAAATCTGCCTCCAAATCCTGGGTGCCGTTTCGGTGTTTCTATCTGCCGTCACAAAGTACTGTGGTCAGTGCTACAGGAGACAAGCAGCACGCTCTGAGGAGGGGTCTCCGAAGGCCTGAGCACCCTGGTGTCTCTCAGAGGATATCAGGTTTTACCGATCCCCGAAGGGGAGGCCGGCAAGGGGAGCGCTCCTGACAGGCTCCGGGCAGTGACCTGGGAGGGCGAGCGGCTGCCGGGGGCGGGCTTGGAAGCGAAGCCAAGCCTGCTGGTCTGACGGGTGGGTTCCAGAGTGATGGACGAATCCAGCAGCGGCAGCTCTGACACACAGTCAGACGCGCGTGTGCCAGTGGGCAGGCTCGCCTTACCTGCCACTCGGCCTCCTCCTTCGAGAACCTGTCTGTGGGCCCATCCGGGCTGTCCTGGGCGCTGTCCACTCCATCTTGCTCCAGAACTGGCAGGAGGTACTGAGAAGGGGGGTAATATTCCAGCCCGGACTCTGCAGGACATGGGGCACACGGTGGCAAGGAGGGACCCAGAGCCACCCCGCCTGCCGCCCTCGTCCCCTGCCCGGTGCTGCTGCTCTTGTCCTCCCTACACTGGGCCCTCTCTCAGGCCTGGGTACGGCGAGGGCTCAGGTTCAACCTCGCTGAGCCAGCTGAGGTCAGGATAGCAGCAAAGGCCAGATTAGCCCAGAGGCACAGGTGTGGGATCCAGCCCTACTGACAACTTCCTGTGTGGGCCGAGGTGCTGTCCCTGGGGGCCCTGGGCAGTTTCCTCATGTGAATGGGCCATCCCCTGAATGTTTTCTGTTGCACAGTGTGTGTTTTTATTGTTGATGTGTGGGCACTCTTTACATATTATGGTAAAGGACCTTGGTTCTACAATATGTATTGCAACTATCTTCTTCCGTGTGGCAACTTGCTATTTTAACATGGTTGACAGTGTTCAGGGAAACAAGTTTCCAATTTTAATGGAAGTCACTTTCCCCACCCCTTGGAAAGACACAAATAGGCAGTTCATAAGATTAAAATGAGAAAATATTAAAATACCCAGGGAAATGACATTGAAATAATAATAGGCTCTGCTGTTTATCACAATAACTGATTTTATCTTATTATTATTTCTGTGTGTGCACGGTGCTGGGGATGGAACCTAGGGCCCTGGACATAGTAGGCAAGCACTTACCACTGAGCCACACCCAAGATCCAGACTAGCAGATTCTGGTGTGTGTGTGTGGTTTTTTAAGACAAAGTCTCACTTGGTAGCCCCAAACTTGGTAGGCCTCAAACTCAGGGCAATCCTCCTGCCTCAGCCTTCTGCCATCCTTGCAGACATTCCTCAGAGGAATGGGAACACAGGGCCTATGTTTACACTCCTTCCTGCTGGAAATATAGCTCGGCACAGGTCCTGTGGGTCCATTGCAATGCTCAGCTCAAGCACAGTACTTACCAGTGTTATTTTCTTTTTTTTGTTTGTTTGTTTTTTTTGTTTTTTTTTGGTTTTTCTCTGGTACCGGGAACCGAACTCATGACCTTGCGCTTGCCAGGCAGGCGCTTTTGCCGCTGAGCTAAATTCCCAGCCCCTACCAGTGTTATTTTCTGACATGAGTCTTTCTGTGTTGCCCATGTTGGTCCTGAACGCCAGGGCTCAAGCGAGTCTCCTGATGCAGCCTCCTAAGGGCTGGTACCACAGGCATGGGCTGTATGGCTTGTCAAAAGCTAGGCTTTTAAAGTTCCTGTTGCTTTCTCTTCTTAGCTAATTCTTGGTATTGATAGTTCAATTTTGGTCATTTTAGTGGGCATGCAGAAGTATCTCTTCGCAGGTTTTTTTGCGGGGGGTGGGGTGCGGGTCAGGATCTTACTATGTAGACAGGCTGGTTTAGAACTCACTATGTAGCCCAGGCTGGCTTGGAACTCCCAGTAATCCTCCTGCCTCAGCCTCCTGAGTGCTGGGATTACAGACATGTGCCACCATGCCTGGCTTTGCAGATTTAGTTTTTTCCTGTTGATTAAAATGATGTGCAGCACCTTTCCCAGACATTACTGACCATCAGGACATTCTCTCATGTAAAATTCCCAGGCACATCTCTTAACGGCGTATATGTGTACTGCAAATTCCTTTCTGTCCCTAAATGGCATCTTGGGCTGATGGGAAGTTTTGATTTGAATTAAATCTAACTCCTCAGTCTTAGGTTAGGACTACTTGTCTCCTGTTGAAGGAGGAGGTTAGGGTTCGTTTTTAAAATTTATTTATGATTCGGCAATGGGACCCGGGGCCTCGCACTTGCTAGGCAAGGGCTCTACCCTGAGCTGCACCCAAGCTCAAGGACTGACATTTCCCACAAGGAGATGCACCACTCTAGAATCGTTTCTGTATTAAAGCAATGTCCACTTCCGATCCTCTCCTGCAGGGGCGCCTTCGCCGTGAATCAGAGGGCACACGTGAGCCTCGGTATGTGCTGAGAGCCCCACGGGGGCCAGGACCCCGACGTGCCAGTGTCCGACCTGATGAGGTGAGCTGCACCCCCGGGGCCTGCCTGTGACTGTTTCCCCATGAGATCACCCGTTGTGCCCGTTCCCCGAGCCGCCGGGCTGGCCCAGGAGGGCCTTCGGAGGCGGTGCCCCGCCTTTACCTTTGCAGAGGAACTGCTGGATGGCCGCGGTGCCGGCGCCGCACACCTCCTGCGGCGGGAAGACCATGGCTGAGGCGTCCAGGTTCAGCGTCTGCAGACACAGGGCCCCCTTACCGTGCGCTCACAGCGTGAGGCCACACGGTCAGACGTGGCCCCTCCTGCTTCCTGTTGCCCAGCCCCAGCTCTAGAGCACGCAGCGGGCAAGCAGCAACCACCAGCCAGGGTATTTGGGCAAATCGGGTTCGAGGAGCTAAGGGAAAACGTGACTCCAACTCTGTTATCAGAATATAGAAAAAATGTGGAGGCAAACGTGCACCTGCCAGGGAGCTGGGCCCACGCAGAAACCCAGCCCAGGAAGCCGAGCTGAAGGTAAATTAACCCAGGCAGGCTGTACGGCCCTGTGGGGGGGGGGGGCGGGCAGGCACGCGTTCATGAGTTAAAATGACGTCACAAAGTAACTAAATAAATAAAACGACATCAGTTTGGCTGTGACATCACTTTGGGCAGTGCACGTTTGGTAGCACCGCCACATCTAGGCGCTTGGTGGCCGTGGGTGGCCAGTGGTCCCTACGCCAGTACAGAGGACCGGCTGTTTCCACAAGCAGCAACGGACACTGCTGCTCTAATGGCACCCAAGTCCCAGCGCAGCACAGTCCCACCGTGTGTCCTCGGACAGAAAGGTCAGTATCATACACACACTGTCACGGTGTTAGGGCTTAGATCTAGGGTGGCACTTAAGGCCTCACATGTTCAGAGGTGGTTTTTTTTTAAGTTTTATGTTTTGCTTTTTTTTTTAAGATAGGGCCTCATTATATAGCCCAGGCTGGCCTTGAACTTACAGTGATCCTCCTGCCTCAGCCTCCAAAGTGCCAGCATTATTCGCATGCACCACTATGCCTGGCTTCAGAGGTGGGTTCTAGGTGATCAGATCATAGGGGTGCAGTGGATTAATCCAAGCTGAGTGTGTGGTTAGGAGGTGGGGCAGGTGAGGATGGTCACTGCAGGGGTGACCTGGAAGAATGAACTCCCTCCCTGATCCTCTGTTCTCCCTCTGTTTTGTGGCTGGTGCAACGCAAGCAGCCATCCTCTGGCCGGCCCTCATGTACATAGTATGGCTGTATTAAAACAAGCTGCTGCAGGGCATGGTGGCACACACCTGTATCTCCAGCACTCAGGAGGCTGAGGCAGGAGGATGGCTGTGAGTTCATGGTTATGAAATGAACAGTTTCCTGGCCTGGTAGTGCTGGGAAGGAACACGCCGGACATGTGCTCTACCGCAGAGCCACATGCCTGCCCCAGAACACAGCACCTACTAAACATCCGAGAATTGCTTCAGGATTAGGAAAGTGTGTGGTGTGGCGTGGCACACGCTGGGTGTGGCGTGGCACCTGCCTGTAATCACAGCACTCGGAGGCTGAGGCAGGAGGATATCTACGAGTTTGAAGCCAGTTTGAATTACCTACCAAGACCCTGTCTCAAAAATTAAAACTGGGTCTTTGTTGCTGTTATTTTGTTTTGTTTTTTTTTCTCTTTAAAATAAGAATTTAAAAAAAGAAAAAAAAATCAAAAAAGGATTAGGACCGTGTGCTCTGGGCCACGCTGTCTAACATGGCAGCTGCTTAGCACATGTGGCTGTTTCACTACAGAGTAACTAAAATTCAATAAAACACTTAGTTTGTTGGTCACATCGGCCAATTTCAAGCTATGAACTGGGACAGCACAGTCTCTGAATATCCCTGTCTCCACAGGACCTCGCGTGGACGGCACAGGAAATGAACCCACGTGGGCCTGGGGCGGCCACAGCCCTGCTCGTCACGCAGCTGCCAGACTCCGTGCCCGGCGCCTGGCTGTGAGAGGAAACCACTGACAGAATGGGGGCCCCGGAGCCCTGGGCCAGGCTGCGTCACCGCCACAGACACGGAGGTGAGCAGGGGGGACGGCACAGGCGCTGGGTCCAGACGCACTCCTCTGTAGCCGTCTCTCGCTGACTAACTCGTGGGCTTTGTGCAGGCTCCGTAACCTGCCTGTGCCTCAGTTTCTTCACCTGCAAAGCGGCACGACGGTATTCCCTCCCCTCACAGGACTTGGGGGAGGGCTCCGGGAGCTAACACGGCTCAAGCGGCTGGCCTTGGAGAGTGCCAGATACACGTGAAGCCATCTCCGCCATGCCTATGACAGCCCACTGTCCCCAGGGGCTGCCCTGTGCCAGTGTCTGATATGGACTGTCTCCCTCTAAATTCAGATGCTAAAGTCCTAACACTCCTAGCTCAGAATGTGCCTGAGTTTGGAGACAGGCTAGGCCCTAGTCCAGTATAACTGGTGTCCTGCTCTTTCTCCTTTCCCTTCGTGTGTGTGTGTGTGTGTGTGTGTGTGTGTTTTGAGACAGAGTTTCACTATGTAGTTCAGCCTGGCCTCAAACTCAGCAATCCTCCTGCCTCAGCCTCCTGAGTCCTGGGATTACAGGTGTGCACCACCACAAGCCACAATTTTCATCAAGCGTCCACTGGGCACCGCTCTTCTCCTGTCTAGACGTGTGGCCGTCACACCACTGCAGGTGGCTGCTCACCAGTCTGCCTGCGAGCTCCGAAACGCCACTCCCCAGGGGCCCGTGAGAGGTGGGGGCGGTGCAGAGAGAACCCAGGGAGAACAGCTCCACTGACCTCCAGTGTCCGGACGTGAGCCAGTGTCTGCGGCAGCCTCTGAACCCCGTTTTCACTGATGTCAAGGGTGCGTAGGCTTCGGAGCTCCCCCAGGGTGTCGGGCAGCTCCTTCAGCTTGTTGTCTGGAGAGACCCCGACGGCAGAGCTCAGCGCCCCCAAACCTGGCCCCACTTCCTGTCCAGAACCTTCAGGACTCAGGGGCTGGGCACAGGCGCTGCTGCTGGATGACTCTGGACAACTGACTTGGCCTCCTGGGCCCCGGTGTCCCATCCGTAAGCTGGGACGACCCTGCTGTGCTCTGCCCGCTGCGCACACTTGTCCGGATCCTGGCCGCTCACCGAGTGTGCGGTGCCCTCCGCTGCCGCGTGTAACGTGTCACTTGGGACTGCCGCCGGCCCCACCCTGCTCTCGCCCTGCCAGGCCACTTGTGGTCACGGACATGAGTGAGCAAGTCTCAGCCTGGCTGTGACCGCCACTGCCCCCCTCTGCTGGCTACCCGCTCCAAGGGGTCCCAGAAACCTGGTTACCATGGAGACAGATGCACCTACTTCCAGCATCACGCTCGCACGCACTGGCTCCCAGGCAGGGCACGCTGCGGACAGGAGGGCAGAGCACCTCGGCCGCCTACCTTTCACATTGAGGGTCTGGAGCTGGGCCAGGTTCCCAATGGAGCGGGGCAGATGTGTCAGTTGGTTTCTTTCCACATTCAACACCTAGGAAAGGGCAGGAAATGACATGAGAAGCCACACACAGACAGCAGCGACTCCAAGGCTCCCCCCACTGCTCCGGGCCCAGTACCCCCTGGGCCCTGCACATAGCGGCATTTCTTCCTCCCACAAGCCCTTTGAGGAAGGGACAGACTGGGGATTGAACCCAGGGCCTTTGCACTGGGCTACATTCCCAGTCCTTTCTGTGTTTTATCATGAGACAGGGTCTCCATAGCTGGGCCAAACTTGGGATCTTCCTGCCTCAGCCTCCCAGAGCGCTAGGACTATAGGGGTGCCCCACCACTCTCCATGGAAGAAGTTCCAGCTTGTTATGACCCCATCTGAGAGATGAGGAAGAAGGGGCCAGTACAGCCAGGGGCTGGGCAGGCAGCGCAGTCAGGCTCTGGCTCAGGCACAAGGGAGCCCCAAGGTCACGGCCATGGCAAAGGGACTGAGGCCAGCAGGAGGCCACACTGAGCAGCATTAAAAATTGATACCACAGGAAGCTAAGTAGCCACTAAACATCATGGCAGATAAATATTAGATGAACCAAAGGATGGCTACAACTTATCATCAGACATTCCCAAGTTACAAAACAGCAAAGGTAGCAATTCTAGAAACACAGGCATATGTTTGCAACATCCCCTGAGATTCTACACCAAGGTGTGCATGTGGCTCAAAGTGGGGACAATCACTACTGTTCTAGCCGCTATGTGACCTTGGGCAAGTGACAGCCATCTCTCTGGACCTCTGTTCTCTGTAAAGTGTGATAGTTTCTCTGGGTATGGTGGTTAATTAATGCCTATAATCCCAGCAGTCAGGAGGCTGAGGCAGGAGAACTGCTGCAAGTTCAAGGCCAGCCTGGGCTACATACTGACTTCAAGGCCTGTTCCGATTACACAGCGAGACCCTGCTTCTCTCCCCTCCCCAATGAACTACAGACTACAGCTAGGAATCCTGGGAAATAAGCAAGGTGGAGAGAGACGCGTAAGGGGGTCCACTTAGGGAAGATGGGCAGGATTCACAGGGACAGCTGGGCTCAAAGGTGAAGCCGGAGCCCCAGGAAGTCACCCTACCAGAAGGGAGGGCTGCAAGGTGAGGCCTCCCCCGGCAGGAACTGAGGACAGAAGGTTCTGGAGGTGATCACAGATCCACCACGTGTGGTCTTTTTTTTCTTTTTGGTGCTAGGCTGGAACCCAGGTCCTAGGGCCTGCAAAGCTGGTGCTCCAGCACACACCAGGGTACAAAGGTCTTCTGGGTCCTAGTGGTTTTCTCTGTTTTTGTCTTTTTAAAAACACGGGGTCTCGGTCTGTAGTTGGCTGGCCTTGAACTTTCTCTGTAGCCCAGGCTGGCCTTGACATTGCGGCAATCCTCCTGCCTCAGCCTCCTGAGAGCTGGGATTACAGGTGTACACCATCACACCTGGATTTTCAGAGACCTAGTGAAGGAGGGGCTTTTCGATCTAAATGCTACAGGAGCCTCCCCTTTCTTGTAGAATGGGGGCAACACTAACACCGGCTTCGCAGGGTGACTGTAAGGTGCCTATAGGGTGTGCCAGGCCAGGCTTAGCTCAGGGCTGGCACAAAGTGGGCACTTGGTCAATGCAGGGACTGCCGCCAACAGGGAGCAGAGAGCCGTGAGCCAGTGCAGGGCCTGACTTCTGTAAGACGCAGAGTCGTGGGTGCCTTTTACTGTGAGGCTGCAGGAGCTCGCGATGAGGTCCCCCCGGGAGCACGAGCGAGGGCAGGGCCGGCCCGTGCAGCCTGCGTCCGCTGGTGGGGCAGAGCCTCCAGAATATCCACCGGGAGAGTGGGTTCTTATCCCGTGCCTCACCTGCAGGGCTGTCAGCTGCCCCATGTCATCAGGAAGGGCTGTCAGCTGGTTGTCGTGCAGATCCAGGACCTGCAGGAGAAGACAGCTGTCAGACACCCACTGAGGGAGCCCTGGGGTTCTAGCCTCAGAGCAGCAGGAGGTGACAGGGGCTGCTTCACGCCAGCCCCGCACCCACCCCTTCTTCTCCCTCTAAATGTTTGGCACCCCACCTCATTTTCTTTCCCAGACTATTACACCATTTCCTTCTCTTAGTTATCACATATTTATTTTTCAGGGTTAAACAAAAATATGTTGTAAAACAGTATCCAGATGCTAAAGAGAAAAATGAGCTGAGCGTGGTGGTGCACAGCTATAATCCCAGGACTCAAGAGGCTGAGGCAAGGGGCTGGGGATATAGCTTAGTGGCACGGCGCCTGCCTCGAAAGCATGAGGTCCTGAGTTTGATTCCTAGTGCCGAAAGGGAAAAAGAAAGGATGAGGCAGGAAGAACTCTGTGAGTCTGAGGACAGCCTGGGCTACATAGTCAGTTCAACGCCAGCCTAAACTACATAGCAAGACCCCGTCTCAAAAAGCCAGAAAAAACAAATTGTTCTTTTCAGTACTGAGATTGAACCTAGCACCTCTGCACTGAGCTATACCCGCAGCTCTTTATTGCTTTTTATTTTTAGACAGGATCTCCCTAAGTCACTAAGTTGTCCAGGCTGGGTTTGAACTTGTGACCCTTTTGCCTCAGTCTCCTGAGAGTGGGATTACAGATCTAGCCATTTGCTAATATTTTTTAAACAATGAAAATAAGCACAGAGGGCATAGGAAATATATACATATATGCACACACACTATATAAACAGACCATATGCACAAATTTAAAACTTACACACACACATATATGTGTATATATATATGTGTGTATATATATATGTGTAT